TTATCATCAGCTAAATTCACAATAATGTCATTGTTATTTAAAAGCTACCTTGAAGCCTTTGCCGCTTGCCTGCTCTCTGTTTATCTCATTTTGTGTTTTTTCATGATTAATTACAAATAATTTATATATTTCACTAATTAATTTGACATTTACGCGCTGTTTGTTCAGCTGACAACTGGGCCCAGCTGAAGGACACACGCGCACACACACACACAATGTCCGTGCCGCATAGTGAAAATGTGATTTTTCCGGTTACGCCTTGCTGTGGTTGCTTTTACCTCGCATGCATGCATTATTTTCCAATATGTAATTTCCTTCATCAAGGTAAACATTTTAATTAGCACACACTAATTAAAATTTCATCAGCCTGTAAAAAAACAATCATAGTTCCGATGAAATTTGTAGTTTGATTAACGTGCAATTTGTTTCATGCTAAAATTAATACACGAGTAATAATATGGAACATGTTAAAGATATAGTTAAGCAACTTGGCACACGTACATATATTTCAATTGTCACAGCCTTCGATTATTAAACACTAGTTGAAACTGTTCTGTGTATTGGATATCTGCACTCAACCGTTTTTTTTTTTACCTATTTTGCATGCTCGTGGCACTTCACTAAGCGACAGCTTCGCACATTCTGTCATATTGTGTGGCATTTGCCGCATGACAGCAAAAATTATTGACAAATAATATCAATTTGAGCCATGGCAAACCAGCCACAGACAGTATTTTATGATATGAGTCTGGATAAGCTCCATGGTTTGACGCTGACTGATGCTGATGGATGACAGTCGTAAGTTGACTAAGCTGCCAATCACCTAGCCATAAGACATTTACAGCATGTCTATCGAATTTTATATTAAATATGCAAGTGTTTCTCTAAGTATACACCATAAGCTTGTCCCATAAATATATATATATATACATATATACACATTTTTGTTGTTGTAATTTTAAGGTTCTTCTTACACAACTTTTATGACACTGCCTACGCAACTTGGTTTTTTTTTTTTTTTTTTTTGATGGTTGGTGCAAGATTAATATGATAGAAGACTGTGCATATGCTTGACGCTCAGTGTAGCATCAGCATGATAAACGCTGATGGGCGCTCATAAATTAGAACAGTTTTTCTTTTATTTAAAATTATTATTTAATGCACAAGCAGGTTACTTTAAATACGAAATGTGTTCACTCTAAAAATTTAAATACATCCGCCCTAGAGTATGCTGCAAACATTTTGCTCAATAGAAATTTCAAATATTTTCAGAGAAAGATTTTGTTGCCACTCTGACATGTAATTATGTAACTTTATTACACATTTTCCACTCATTATTACGTAATGAGCTCCGAATAGGGCCCGCTGTTGGCTCTGCAGGCATATTAAATATCATCCGGGTAGCTGCCTAAAATTGAACCGAAATTTAAATTGCGAATTTCAGCTGCTGCCTTGCCATTTGCTGTTTCTTTACTTTTTTCATAAATATCATTGGCTCGCCGTTTCCTTTTTCAGTTATATTAAAAAATGTTTATATATGTGCGTCTGAATTCTGGACTGCGCTTTGAGGTTCCAATCGAGAGCTCCCGACTAGGGGATACCCTGAAACCTCTTCTTCCAACATCAAATGCATATATATATTCTATTTTAGAAGCTATATGTCAAGTTTAATGACTCTAGCTCTAATTATTTATCAAAATTGCCCAGAAAAAAGGATATCGATATCGAATTGTATCGATTGCTTGGAAACGGAGTAAGTTATCGATTATCGGAAACAAACTCGATCTGCGCAGGCACTAGGAGCACGTACATCTTCAAGTCTCTACCTATTATAGTTTCTGAGATCCTTGCGTTCATACATACGGACAGGCGGACGGACGGACAGACGGACACGGCTAGATCGACTCGGCTATTGATGCTGATCAAGAATATATATACTTTATGGGATCGGAGATGCTTCCTTCTGCCTGTTACATACATTTGGATTTTGCACAAATACAATATACCTCTATACCCATATTTAATGGATTCAGGGTATAAAAATATATGTAACTTTATACGAATCACGAAAACTAGAGAACTATTTTTGATCATATTTTGATCGTATTTGCTTATTTACATTTATTGAACAGTCTTATCACAAAAACAGAATTTATGTAACGTACGTATTTACTTTATATTATTCTAATACAATTATCAATTTTTTGTCTGGCTCCGATTGCTGAAACGAATAAATATAAATTAAAAGGTCATTTTTCTTGCCTTTTTTAAAACACTGTTTTGGTTTATTAATGTGTCTATGCACACTCAAGAAAGGGTATACGAGAGCCAAGTTAAAGTTTAAATTTGGTCGAGACGTCGCTGTTGTGGCTTTTACATAACACTTAACTTTTCTCGCCTTATATTTTATTCAAATGTTTTTGCCGCAGATAAGTTGCTGCTGCTTGAGTGCCTGACGTTTCCCACTTGGCTGCCGTGAAAATTTGAAAGAAAAGCGAAAGCCGAGACAGAGAAAGACAGAGAGAGAGGGAGAGTGATGGAGGAGAGGAGGACAGACAGGAAGGTCTAACTAGACCGGAATGTTCAATTATCAAAGGCATCTCAACGCGCCGTCATTGGCCAAGAAAACGACTTGACAAGCAGCCCGCCTGTCCGGCAGCCGCCACTTCACGCTACTTCCAATGGAATTTGGAATTTCATGCTCCGCTATTTATGGGTCAACGAGAACGCGCAGCGCATTAAGTGTGCAGCTCCAAGTCAGCTCAATGACCATTAGGCGAATCTGCTAGTCCCAATTTGAATATATTTTCTCTTTATTTTTTTTTTCCCTGGGCAGGTGACCAGCCCAAGCTGCCGGTCAGTCTAATGAGCGGCTTAAATTCGCAGCGAGTTTTAAGTGAATTTAAACAAGTTCGGACCCTGGTTTGAAGTCAGCAATTAATTGAGTTACAAAAGCACAAGGCACACAAAATTTCATTACGCATACGACCCGGTGTTGCATGACCAGCAGAACAATAAGACGGCAAAGCGATGGCTGTAGCAACTGAAAGCCCGGCAAAGTTTGCCGTAAACGTCATTAGTTTTAATAACATTTACACAAAAGCACGAGCACACACACACACACACACACCTTACACACACACACAAAGGCTCGTTGTTGCTTGTGTTTTTGTCAGGGCATAAATTAATCCAAGCAAATCATTTGCCGCCTCGTGCCGCACTTTAATTGAGATTTAACGCCTTCTAATTGCAGCGAATAAATTGAAATATATATAAATATATGTAAATTATATAAATCAGCAGCAAGTCTTGCGGCTTATTCACATAGTCCTTAAATATGTAGCCAATTATTTGAAGGCTCTCAAATCATTTGAATAAATACTGTGAATAAATAAACAAGTGCCCGGAAATGTGTTAATTTGGCTTAGCGAACACTTTTGGCCAATTTTTGTGTATTTTCAACTTTCTAAATGTGCACAAGCATATTTATTTTTTAAATATACAATTTGTATACACTTGCCAAAAAAAAAGGCATCTTTCACTTTATATTATATATATTTTAACATATTGTAAATTTACTTTTTCAGAGAATAGTTAACACTCCTGAAGTCTTACATATATGTTGAAGGAATGCATAATGCTCAAGGAATGCTGTCCATGAGGAATATCAATTTGATCGTTTCTTCTTAAGGAACAGCTATTTTTAGCCTGTGAAATTGCATTGGATGTAAGCCTAGCCGATGTTAATCTAGCCGACCCCTCTTAGACGGGTCACAGAGTGAATGTGCATGCTTTTCCCATAATACAATATTATTATTAGGGAATTCAAGCTTCGGCATCTCTATTCAAACAGTTCATTTTGTGATTCGTTCAGTTTTACCTTCGGCCATTTTGTGTTATGGCCATTTTACCATTGGTTCGGTACGGTTTGGTCTGCTAATTCTCATTTTCATTTGTTTTCTCGCCCTGTTTGCGCTTCAATTAACAACAACTTGTTACATGCGCAAATTGCACTAAACTCTGAGTGTACAAACATAAATAACAAAAACAAATAAATAAATAAACATGGCTAAATGAAAAAAATGTAAATATATTAGCATACATACACACACATATATATATATGTATGTATGTACGTATGTATATATGCCAACATCGCGGTTGAGCTGCTGCAAAGCTGCGTAAGGTTTCCATTTTTGTTAGGCTGTGCAAAATGAAGAAACTGAAATATATAAACAGGTAAAAGGCCCATTTGGTGGGCGGGTGTTAATTTCATAGGAATTTTGAATTTATGAAACTTACAGGTGCTGTTGTGGGCACACGCACATACACAGACACGCATACGAGTTGTGTGTCTGGGAAAATATGAATACGTTGAAATTAAACAAAAAAAGGCCAGCTAAAAATGTAGTTTAAATTATTTGAAAAATATTGAATATTTTTGTATTTAATATAATTTAAATTGAAAGATATTTACATTTTATTAAAATATATTTTAAATAGGTTACCCACATTTATATACATGCAATAGCTCTTTATAATTTATATTAAATATCAATAAATATAACTAATTTTTTTATATTATTAATTGTATTAAAAAATATAACTAGGGCTCCATGACGTATGCGCAATAAACATGTTGCAATTAAATGCATATTCTTTCAATAAAAAGGAAACTTTTTGATACTATTTTCTTTTCTTTGAAATTTCTAGAGTGCTAAAACAGTTTAATTAATAAACTAACTAATTTATGTTGATAACGCTTAAGATCAGCCAACTATTGTGCTAAAAACGAATGCCCATTCGACTCACAATACGAAACAAGCATATTTCTGAATTGACGAATGAATAATAAAATATTTATGCGCATTGTCCAAATGTGAACTTAAATGAAAGCCAAGCAATCAATTCAATGATAATAATAATATTAATAATAATATTAATAATAATAATAATAATAGTAATAATAATAATAATGATAATAATAATAAGCTTGCCGCTCAACCCCCAATTTGGCTAGCGAAAATGGTAGCCAATACCATTTGTATTTCAATATCGCCCTCTCTCGCCCAACTATCATATCTTCGAACGCATTTTCCGTGGCACAATGCATACAATTTGCAAGTTGAATATTCGTAAATTTCTATATGAATATCGAGCATCGTTTGTGCAGCACCATAAGTGGCTAGTTGAAGCATTTGAATAGCTGCATCTATCGACTTGGCCATAAACGAAAATCGCAGCGATTATCTTAAATTGCACAACATGGACAAGTGAATCCACAGACAACGTCAGGACACCCTAACCTCAATATTGCCACAGACAATAAACCAATAAACGAAAGCCATGTACTGAGCCATAAAGGTCAGCCAGCAGCAGCCGAGTGTCCACAAATTAAGTAGCTTAGGGATTCACATAAGTGCCCCAAAGATGATGTTGCTGCGACAGCTGCTGCTGCTGCTGCTCATGTTGCTGATGGGAATGTAGCTCCTGCTGATGCTGCTGCTGTTGTTGTGGGGAGTCCGGCACGGCTGGCGGATAGTGTGGATAGCCAGCTGAGCCATTCTGTGCCTGCGTCGTGTAGCTCATGTGCTCGTAGTAAGCGCTGGGCGAGGCCAGGCACTCAACCGGCTGGGAACTGGCGCTGGAGCAGGCCGAGGACAGCGAGGCGGATGAGTTGAGCGGCGGCGAGTGTGCGGCAGCGGCCACTGCGCCGGCGGGCACATGCTGTTGCGTTAGTGGCAGCATTTGATCCATAAGATACTGGTCGATTTCCTTGGGATCAATGTCGACAGCCGCCGCCGCCGGCTTGCTCAAGTAATTTAGCGCTCCATTGGCGTGTGACGATGCTGCAGCAGCAGCAGCAGCTGCAGCAGCTGTAAAATTGCCATTTGCAGTTGCGGCTCCATTGTAGCCATTGTAGCTGCTGTAGCTGGCACGCTGGGCATATCCATAGCCGTTCATGTTCTCTAGAAAATCCAACTCCTGCACGGAAGCGCCCACACCCACGCCCACGCCTACACCATTTTGGCCACCATTGTAGTTGAGCTCACCCAGCGCTATGTACTCCCGGCCTGCGTCGAGCAGCACGCCGTAGTCATTGCTGCCGGGAATTGTCGCGCTGCTCGGCTCGCTCAGCTGGCGCAGCAGCAAGCTGGAATTGTGCAGCATGCCAGTTGGCTGCTTGGCAACGCCTGTATATGGCGTGGCAGGTGGTGTTAGCGATGAAAGAGAACTGGCCGTCGAGCAGGGCGAGTCCAGCATTCCGCGTTCCGTTTCGCTGCCCAAAGCCAGACCCTGCTCCAGCAGGCTGGCCGCGCAGGCGCTGTTCAGCGACTTCATGAACGCCTCATTGCTGAAGACATCAGGACTGGAGCTGCTGTGGGTGGTGCTATTGGTGGTGCTATTGTTAGGTCCTAGGCTGCCGCCAACACTGCTCGAGGAATTGTTATGCGCTTTACCGGAGCGACGCTGGGAGGCATGGCTAGTGGAACTGCGTCGCGCAGTTGAAGTGGTTGCTGCTGATGTTGCTGCGGTCGTTGCTGTTGCTGGCGTGGCAGCAACTGTTGCTGCGGTCATTGTTGCCTCAGCTTGTGGCATGATGCGCGCCTTTTTGCGCCGCGGCTGATATTTATAGTCGGGATGCTCCTGCTTGTGCGTCATGCGCAGCTTCTCCGCAAATTCCATGAATGGCTTCTTATCGCTATCCTTCAGATTTCTGCGAAGCAAAAAACAGAGAAGGGTTGAGCAAGGGGCACAGAGAGGGGAATATCGAACGCGCAATCAGCGCTTAAATTTATGGCCACTTCAGTCAAATGTTCGCTTATTTATTGGTCTACAAATTGGTCGCCAAGTGACAAGCGGTGCGGCCTTCCAATTAACTCTCAAGGCGGATGCTTTGGCGCAGCCTCTTATCAGCGCATTCCCGAGATTTTCAAACTCTTATCGCGAGCCCGCTGAACTGTGAAATTTTAATTTCAAAACCGTTTTTATTACAAACAATATGAAGACGACGCCGAAGCGGCGACTTTTTGTATCATATATATGAAAAATGTCAACTTTTATGTCAGCTGAATTGCGAATCGGAAAACTGTGAGGCCATACACTTGGCTACCTAAGGAATGGCAACTATGTTGATATGAAAATGGGTTCAGCTTTTATCGAACACAAAGAGTAATTCGAGAATTGGAAGAGTATTTGGTTGAGTATTTGGAATAAACTCTGTCCTTTTGCCTTTAGATAAATGAAGATTATTAATTGTAGCGCTTGTGCACTGACAAATTGTCTACTCACTTCCACAGTTTGCCCAGGGATTTGCTCAGCTCGGAGTTTTGCAGGTGCGGATATTGTTTGGACATGACGCGACGTGCTGCCTGGGCCCAGACCATGAACGCATTCATGGGACGCTTGATGTGCTCCTTTTTGCGATCGGAGGGTGCTCTGCAATATATAGAAGGGCAAACAAAATGAGATGAGTTTACGTGTAGGATTTTGTTTTTGCTAGTGCCAACGCCTTACGGCATTCACTTGACATTAATTACACCAGCAACGAGCAGAAACAAAAATGGCACCGCGCAAAGTGTTTCCTGTCAGCGGCCGCCGTTGGCATTGAGAAATTCGCGAATTATGTCAAACTGAAAATTGCAATTAAAACTTTTATTTGTCCGAAGCAAGAAACAGAAGCTGCGCCCGAGGCTAACAAACTTCTAGATTGCAGCCAGAACTTTATTTAGCCCGAAATAAAAAACAAGAAAATCAACAGCATCAAAAGAAACCACAGAATTGCAATGTCTGCAAGTGGCTGCTTCAGCCATTTCAACGACAGCGAATAAGAGTGCTCTAGTCGGCAACACCTGACTAGCAGACACCCTGTACCCAGCGCACAGCTGCTATTACACTCTCCTCCTTAGATACATACGCACACAGAACACAACAACGCACGCATACACACAAGCCTTCTAATTCCCCTAACCACATAATTTACGAATTTCTTGCAGAACTTTTGTGTTCATTGCCCGATTCTTATAATATTAACAGGGCATAGACGTAGCATTCTAACGTATGGATTTTGCCTAGGAAAAAAGTACTTTTCTACAATTTTTTGGTGGAAACAGAGTTAGGCATTGAACGATTGAAATATTCTTAATTTGTGTGTGCCTTAAGAGAGTCTACATACTATCTCTACATACAAGTAATCAATGTGTGTCTCTGAAATCAAAGCAGTTACCCTGCACTTAAGTGTGGACGCTAAATAGGAATATATATACTTATTGGGATCGAAAATTGATTCTTCTGTCTGTTACATACATTAACCTGTCTTACATTTTTCAGTGGAATAGGGCACAAGAAACTTCCATAGAAATGCAGTGTATACATTATAAATACTTGCAATTTGATACTTTTTAAATAGGCTTAGGGCACACAACTTTTCGATGAAAATAAATTATATATATGTATATGGCAAAAAATATTTGTAAATTGATTTAAATAGAAAGTGGTTTGACAGAAATTATTTGTTATTTTTATTATTTGTGCATATCTTGAATCGAAATTTATTGAAAATTTAAAACATATGCACAAAGGAAAATAAATTGCCATGGAATTTATTGCAGCACACGAAATGAGCAATTGGTTTTCGTATCTCCTGTTGGCATACATGACCTACATCGATTGTACAAGAAACTAAAATTTCATGTCCTCGCATGTCACAGTTAAGTTAAGATATATAAGGCTTACCACACACTCACATATACACGCACACTCTCTTGCTATCGCTATAAGTGGTTTTCCCAAATTCAAATAAAGTTGACGAGGCGTATGATAACTTCAAGGCCGTAAGAGTGCACAGGAAAAATGGGTACAAAGCCTAACTCACTTTTACTAAGCCAGGCACACATACACATGCACAAAAATATACTTATACTTATTATACCCTAACAAAAGATAATTTTATAAAAAATCAGTATGTCTTTAGCAAGAGCTTTGATAAGTTTTCTTTAATGTAATGTATTTTAATGTATTTTTTTGTTTCAAAATTTCTTTATTTATAATAAGATATCTGCCAGTCGGGCATACACAAGGGGGGGCAGCCTCATTGTGATTTAGCATGTTGGGGGAAAAAATAAAATAAATAAGCTCTCAGACACAAATTCAATCAAAGGCATGGGCATGGCAGATGGGCGTTAGATAAAGGTTGCCTCTATGCGGATTACTTATATACGCTCGTTTCATGTATATTGAATTATTTATCCTAAATAAACATAAGCCGGCAACAGATTTTACTAGCTGAGGCAATGAATTTCGATTGTCCTTGGGCACAGGTAGGTATATGTGTGTGTGTGTGTGTGGTTGACGTGTGTGTGTGGTTGACGTGTGTGTGTGCTGTAACTACACAGGTGTCAATTTGTGCCTAACAGCGTTTCTTGCCTGTTACCGTGCTTGGTTCAGCAAAATTGACTTTAATCAAAGCAATTCAATAGCTAAACAGAGCCCCAACTAGAAATTTAGCCAAAAAATAGACTTAACCAAGTGGTAAATAAACATTTATTTAGTAATAGAAAGTTGGCAACATTTCCGCCTACTTATGAAAGTGTTTACACGAAGTAAAGTTTCTGATTTCTGTAGCTAGTTAAGAAAAACAAAGCCCTTTAATTGGACTTTAGATATTGATTTATTTTGAATAGATACTGAGCTTTGATTTGACACGGTAATATTTATTTAAGCATTTATTTAAGCTTGGAATATACAAAATGTATCTCATCCCACATTTTTGAATAAATCACATTAAATAGGCGCAAATCAGCTTGAATGATTAATCACGTTTCGTTTAGATTTATCATATTGTAACTATGGTATATATAGATTTATATATATATATATCCTACACAGACAAACCCACAACCAACTCATGCATGAGAGTCGTCTATTTAAATACGACCTTGCTGCAGTTTATCCCCACCTTACCTTTGTCTTAAGCTTAAATGCATTTAATCATTTGCATTTGATTTCGTGTCTCTCAAGTTACGCACAATTTGCGCATACAAAATACCAGAAGCTTGCCGAATGGCAATTAATTAAATTCTAGGCCTTTACCTGAATACACATTTGCGGGACCTTGAAATCAGAAATTGTCAAAATTGACAAAAAGCTTTTAGCTCAAGTCTTGAGTGAATAGCATTAAATGTTGTTCGTGAAAATAGTTAATGCATAAATTTATCAAATTGTAAGAAAAGTCTGAGCTGAAGTTAAATGTATGCTTATAGTTTATATAAGTAAACTACTTTTTTAAGAGATTATCTATTAAATACTAAATTGAAAACAGCGCAAGTAACAAGTAAAAGCGCTTCCTTCCATACTTACACAAAACACACACACACAAAACCTCTTGCTGCGGCTTAGCTTCTTTCCTTAACCTCACGCTTTGGAAACTTTAACTTCGATTCGATCTTTATACAAATTTCGGTGTAAAAATACGGCATCCGATACCAAAGCCAAGGAAAATAACCAACAAAAAAAAAAGGTTGTAAAAATGTTGAAGAAATGCATAAAAAGATTCCACTAAGTGTTATATTCTAGGTCAGAGTACGCAACTAAATTGAATATATCTAGCCATTATAAGATGCAAGCTATGATGATATAATATCACTTGTTATCAATTTCATGGAAGCTTCTAGCCTTTAGCTCTTATAGAAAACGATTTCATACATACGGCCATTCTATGGGAACAATTGAAGGAACGTGAATAGAACGACTCGGCTGCAGAGGAATATATATAACTTATGGGTTCATAAAAGAAGGCATCTTCTGTCTATTGCATACATTTGCGCAAAAGCATTATACCCTTTTTACCGCAGTTCAATGGTTTTTGATTTATCTGAATTCAATTCAATTATCGGATTATAAAATAAATTCCACTAATTGTTCTCATCAATTACGTTTAATGAGCCAAGTCAATGACGTCTCTTACAGACTCGGATTCTAAGGCAGGTGGTTTCCCTTTTTCTACACAATTACTATTGTTATTATTGTGTATTTAATTGTGGGAGCATGCACTTTGGATTGTGCGAGAGTACATCGACTTGACTTGGGAGACCTGTTTTGTAAGACGTTAAAGTTCGAATGAAAAATATACTTCTTTTTTGGATAAGAAATTTAAGTGGAATATTTTTAGCATGTATAGGACACAATAGCATGGAGCTTAGCTAACAATTTGTAATAGAATATTCATATCATTTTGTAGAAGACATTCGAATCTTTTCACAAGGTGTGCCATTCACAGAAAACGACGTCCCCAATACCATAAAATATATTCTCTATTTTTAATGGAAAACTTGTTAAACTCTCTTAGCAATCGAGAGCTGTAGTCAAAAACATTTGATGGGCAATAATTGATGGACAAAAATTGATGGACAATAAAACTATAGCACAGCTGTGGCAAACTTTCTGAAAGGGTATTGAATCTTCGGCGCGCCAAAAAGATAGCTGCCTTTTTCGTGCTATTAAATATTCAAATATAAATATTTGATATTCTTTCAATATGCTCAAAATCAGCTACAAATTGACTTTGTTGTTTACTTCAAAAATAATGTCTGTTACAGAGGTGCAGCGCAAGAGCATGCATGTGTGCGTGTGTGTGTGTGTGAGTTTGTACATATGTCAGCATGTGTATGTGCCTGTGTGTGTTTAGGGTAGTGCACATCCTCTCTGCCATGCTGCTCCGCACTGCCTGGGCTTAATTACAACAACCCGAGCTCGAGTTGGAGCTTATTAAGCGATTAAAAACGCGCAGACCGGAGGCCAAATGGCGGTTCGGTTGGACAACTAGTTGCAAGTGGCAAGTGGCAAGTGGCAAGTTGCAAGCGGGAAGCTGCTTATCTGCTGTTGGTATCGTCGCGGCCCCCAACCCGTCAAAAATGACGCACAGCAAGTGTATGTATGTATGTGTATGTGTGTGTATAGTGAGCTCTCACGCTTGACAGCACGCTAATCAGAATCAAGTGATGTTCGTTTTGCAGCAAACGTTGCACAACGCCAGTTCCGAGCACTTGGCAACTCGAGCACGTCTTCATTATTTTGTTGTTGCTGTTGTCTTTATTGTTGTTGCATTTGGAGATGCGCAAATCTCATTAAGTGATATCTTCAAGTGGCCGTTCGCTGCGCGTCCTATATGAAAAATGTGCATTTTTATATTCTGAACCCATTCAATATGATTTAAAAGGGTATAATGCATTTAAGCAAATGTATGTAACAGGCGGAAGGAAGCAACTTACACTATATAATATATATATGCTTGATCAGGACGATGATAGCTTTAAAAAAAATATGTATGTAGGAGTTGGAAACAGAACTAGGAGTGGTCGAACTTACAATCAGTTAAATTAAACAGGCGAGTATAATGTTGGCATTATACTCATTTGGTAATATAAAATCACTTATCATAT